ATAGGCTAAGGTTCGGAAAACAGCCCTAAGTCCAACAGCCAGCTGAGTGTATTAAAAAAACTGTGGAAACGTCTTCCACAATGGAATCCCTATTGCTGCTTATAAAAAAAAAAAAAGGAACTTTTTTCCATTTTGCAACAGCATGATTGGAACTGGAGAGGCAAAATAAGCCAGCTGGAGAAAGATAAATATCACATAATCTCACTCATATGTGGGACATAATGATCAACCATAAACTGATTGACAAAAAACAGATCCCAGAGACAAAGGGGCAGGGGAGTAGGGGTTTAGAGATCAACCAAAGGGACTTGTATGCATGCATATTAGCATAACCAAATGGACAAAAGACACTGGGGCAGTGGGGGCTGCCCTCGGGGTGGGAGTGGGGGAGGGTGTCAATCAGGGGAAAAGGAGACATATATAATACTTTAAACAATAAAAAAATTATGCTACATGCCGAAACCGGTTTGGCTCAGTGGATAGAGCGTCGGCCTGCGGACTGAAAGGTCCCAGGTTCGATTCCGGTCAAGGGCATGTACCTGGGTTGCGGGCACATCCCCAGTAGGAGATGTGCAGGAGGCAGCTGATCGATGTTTCTCTCCCATCGATGTTTCTGGCTCTCTATCTCTCTCTCCCTTCCTCTCTGTAAAAAATCAATAAAATATATTTTAAAAAAAATTATACTTCAATGCAGCTGTTTAGACAAGGTTTTGTTTTAATTTTATAAGCAATGGAAAGCCATTTAAGATTTGTAAATGAAGAAAAACTATTGAAAAAAATTGCCAGTAAAGAATTATTCAGATTAAAATATTAAAAAAAAAGAATACACAGCGTGACACCAGGGATGCACACACAGAGAGAATAAAACAACAATGTGATGATATAACAAGAAGGTGGCCATCTGTTAGCCTCAGAAGAAACCAATCCTGACACCTTGATCTTGTTCTTCTAGCCTCCAGAACGAAGAGACAATAAATTTTTGTTGTGTAAGCCAAAAAATAAAAAATAAAAAAACACATTTTGGGGAATGGAGTAAGTATATAGCTTCCTAAGGTAACTGGTTAGAAAACAAGTATTTGTGTAGATATTTAAATTCTGGTATATATTAAAAGTTAGTCTACTCAAATCACCCATTATAATATTTTACATCAGAAAACACAAAGTTCATAGTTATGTAAACTTTCCACAAGACTGTTACCTAATGTCATCAGAGCAGCAATCAATAACCATCCAGCTTGTGTGCGCTGAGCTGAAAGGCGACTGTTTTGAGAAGCAGAACACAGCAAATCCTCTGCTAATGTTAAAATAATCTATTTACATATAAAAGAACAAGGCAAAAAAAAAAAAAGCATATCAGTTTAAGGTTACTGGACAAATAACAGCAACTAATAATAATGTCTTGAAAATTTAACTCTCACATATATTGGCATATAAGTGTACACAGAAACTCTAATTGTTTGCAGAATATGTGCAACAACATAGTACAACTGTTTAAGTTTAGCTGTATAGAATTTGAACTTATTTTTAAGTAACCATCTTAGTAACTACCAAAGAAAACCTCATTACAGGAATCTTTTAAAAATTTTGCATACCACTTTAAAAATAGATATATATATTTACTGATTTCAGGGAGAAATGGAGAGGGAGAAAGAGATAGAAACATCAATGATGAGAGAGAATCACTGACTGGCTGTCTCCTGCAGAGCCCCCACTGGGGATTGAGCCCGCAACCTGGGCATGTGCCCTGACTAGGAATTGAACCGTGACCTCTCTCGTTCATAGGTCAATGTTCTATCAC